GGGCGGCGGCGGCGGAGTGATGATGACAAGCAGCCTTTGCTGGCGGGTGATCCGGAACGGTGAGTTGGTCTTGTACCCGGTCGAGTTGTCCTTGCAATAGGGGCGTGACTGACGGTGGTGTCTGCTGATGCGTGGCGGGTTGAGTAGGTTGAGCCTGTCAGAGACCGCTGCCAGCAACTTGGATGCAAGCACGTTCGATCCAGACCTCGATGATGATCCCGCCAAGGAAGGAGACGGTTGGAGCTCTTGCTGCCTGCTGCTCTGCGTGGCCACCTCCTTGTTCAACAACATGCATTCAAGGTCTAACCCCGCTCGTTTGATCCCGTCATGTGTCTTCGTCTTTTACTGGATGCCTCGCTCCTTGAGCAGCCTATCGACAGCACATGCGCCAAGCCGTTCCAGGTATCGCCTGCAAGCCAGCCTCGCGCGCCGGCGTTATCCCCGCCCTGTTTGAGCATAGCGAGCAGCTTACCTGCCACTTGACATAGTGACCATCTTGACCAGTGCCTTTGGCATTGCGACCATCGTATGCATCATTGTTGCCGCCATCGCCCAACGTCAGTAGCCGCCTCGTGTCGTCCCAAAAGTGGAGCACACACGCTCATCCCCCCCTTTCTCCCACCCCCCTTTTTATCTCCGCTTCTTTGACACGCCAGATTGGATCGATCCCGACCTCACGGGAGATGTGCGAGCACAATATCTTGGTCTTTACCGAACGCCAGCCAACGGTGCGAGGGAGACGCGCTGCCTTGCATTGCTGCGTTCAACCAGCCTGACGGTGTCGTTTCCGATCACTCGCCCCAATGTCACCTTGTAGTCCAACAAACCGGGTACCTATATGCAACGCGCGCCATGGTGGCCTTGCAGCTGGCCCTCACATGTGTGGGCCTGATCACTCTGATCATGGGGGTCATTCGCGAACGTGCCCTGCATCATCGTGCCCGCGAGCATAGTCATGTCACTCGCTTTCACATTCCCTTTGGTATGCGCCCACCGCTTTTATTCCCTCCAGCTCCGCGCCCATGCAAACGCTCTCACCCATGCCCCATTTGCCATGCCTGCCGCCACCTCGGTTCTGCAAATTGCATCGACCCCAGCTGCCTTTGTCGCCTTTTCACTGCTGGCCTTTGCCACCCTGACCGGTATCATCGGCACCATCCTCTTTGCCGGTCCGTTCGTTTTCTGCCTCGCAACACACTTGCCTTTCCCCTTTCCCTCAAACCACGGCCATGCTACGCCCGAGAGCATGACTTTTTTTTTTCCCCAAAGCAAAGGGCTTTTTGATCCTCTCCTCTCAACGTCATTGTTGCCGCGCCTGCCACAGCATTCAATGCACGCAATTTTTCCATCAAAAACCAGGCCACCGTGGCCAACGGGTTTTACACGCACTTGACCAGCGTGGGCTTTTCGTTTCTTGCCGCCAACACCGTCCTTCTTTGTTATCCCAGCGACACCGTGCGTGCCAAGCGCGAAGCCCATGAGGCGGCCCAGCGGCGCTGGCGCAGCAACATTGTTACGCGTGCTCGAAAAGATAACTAGGCTTGACCCCTCCCACAAGCATCAGGCACTGCGTGCCCGCCCTCCGTGCGCCTCTAGTATAGCCGTCCACCATGTCTTGTCGCTTTGAAATCGACGCGAGTCGTGAGCTGCTCCAAAACCAGCACGCTGCTTCAGTGCCAATTGTGGTGTCGATTCTTGTCATTGTCTTCTTGTTACAAAGTGACAACGACAAGGACAGAGGGGCTGGCACCCACGCCCCTGGTGACAGTGCAGAAACACAAAGACAAGACGAGCACAACCAAAATGAAAGAGACCAAGCAAGCCACAAATACACTCAAACAGGATGAAATACACAGGCGACACATCATCATGACGCTGGTACACCTTGGACACGCAAGCAATACTGAACGGGTGACAACGGCCCGATGCGCCACACCGCCCCAGACGGCAGGCAGACGGGCCTCAAAAACACAAGAGTAGACCAAACGTCGACAGAGCCAGAGGAGCCTCGCAGCCGCACCCCGCATCGCGGGTGGGTGCACTCAAAGACTCTAAACCCAATCCAAACCCTCCACGCTAGAGGGCATGGGACATCATGAACTAAACACGCTGACATCAAGTCATGTCAAGTCAAAAGGAAGCGGCCACTACCACCAAAAAAAACATCGGCAACGACCAGCGCCGTCCGGACCAGTTGAACAAAGTCTCTACTCTCCAGACTTATTGATGCGGAATTCAGCTGAAAGCGCCAAGTGATCCGAAGCAAAATGGGGATTGGGGCACCCGTCAACATGCTCCTGAATATACGCCTCTTCCACTGGACCCAAAAGCGCCGAAGGAATGAGGCGCTCGGCAGAGTACCAAATGTAGTCAATGATGCCAACAAAGGTTGGTGTGTAGTTGCTGTAGGGCAGCTCGTTGCCGTAGGCGCTGCGCAGCTTCAGATTGTGGTGCAAGCCCACGCTCTCGATAAATTTGGAGTAGTCATACCCCTGCAAGTCGGGATGATCCGGACTCAGCTGCAAGAAACGAAACCCATCAGACAAAGGTGCATCAAGAAACCATGAGAACCATGCTGAATACAGCACATGAGAACCCAGTCTTCCCCCATCAAAGGTTGCACACAATACTGCCAAGCCAGGTCAGAAGTCACAGACAGCCTGCTGTTCCCACCCTGCTCACTCTGATCAAGTACGCCTCGTGTCGCGCGCGCGCGCGCGCGCACACACACACACACACACACACACACACACACACACACACACGTGCTAAGGAAACGCACCTTGCCATTCTCCATGAGCTCGTACACGCCCGAGTCGTGCATCGAGTTGAAGTCGCCCATGATCATGACGGGGATGTTGGGGCAGTTGTGTTCCTTCAAAAAGTTTTCAATCTCACGCAAAGCCAAGACCGTCTGGATCACCTTGACGTCCCGAAACTTGGGATCCCAGGTCAAGTGCAAGTTGCAGACAAAAAACTTCTCGCCCGTTGACTGGCGTTCGAGAAGGGCGCACAGCGCAATGTTGTCCTTGATCATAACGCGGTTGAGCATGTCAGCACAGCCTGAAGCGTAGCGCGTGGCCGAACGCTCAAACTCGATGCAGTGCTCCTTCACGAGCTTGAACTTGGAGACGTGGAAAAAGATGGCGCAACCATCGACGGTTTGGCGATCCGCATCACTCATGGTGCGCACACGCGACTTGGGATGGTAGAGCCCCTGGTAATCCCGCTCGCGCAGCTTGTGTTGAAAGTAGCTGTAGAATTGACCCGAAGCAACCTCCTGCAGGCAAATGATGTCTGCATGTATTGGAAGAGCACCCAGGGGCATGAGCATACGCAAACGCGGGGACATGCTGAGCTAAAAGCCAAACCACGCGCCGACATACCAGAGCTATACTGCAAAATGTCCTTGAGAATTTGCTGCTTTCGATAATTCCACTCGAGAGCCCAAGAAGGACAGTAGCGGTACACCTGCAGGGCGTTGCAAGGGCAAAAACGTGAAGTCCTTCGCCCAGATCTGTAATTTGATTGTGGATGGCACTTGGCTCAGTCCCAGCTACCCGACACGTGTTCTGGCAGTGACACCGACCTGGCGAGTGGCATATTTTTCACACAAAATGTTGTAGCAGAATGAGGTAACGGTGTCTTTGGGCAGCTCGCCCATGTCCTGCGGCATGGTTGCTGGGAAAATCCAGTTGCGCTGGGGTGGAGTCAGGGCAACTATGTGCCAGGTGCGGCACAGATTGCAACACCAAATGAGCAAAAGTACGGCCGCCCACCCAGGGGAGGGATTGCACGTGCACTGCTCTTACTTGGAGCGTTGTCCAGAAGATGGCTAAGCAGGGTGTCTGTGCCCTCGGCTGCGTAGGAACGAATGGGCTCGGTCAAGGGGTTCCCACCCAAGGAGAGCTGTTGTAGCTGATAAAGTCGACCCAGTTCAAAGGGCAGTTTGGGCAACAAGTTGCCATCCAGCTTGAGCTCACGCAGCTGCAGGGTTGGCCACAAAACAAAGCCATCGGGATGGCGCATGAGAGGTTGTTGAGATCTTCACTCTTTAGAGTCTAACAAAGCTTAATAAAGATTGCAAGTGCAGGATGGCGACCAATCAACAACTCGGCAACAAACCTCTTTGAGCTTGTGCATCTCCGGGGGCAGAGCACGGAGCTTGTTGTATGAAGCGTCAAGCACGCGAAGATTGACCAAGCCCGCGATGGCCGCGGGCAAGAACTCGAGATCGTTTTGCGCAATGTACAAGTGTGTAATGTACGTCATGCGAAAGAGGCCCTGGCCCAGGCTGGACAGTGTTTTGCCTGTTGGGTCCGGAACGGAATCATCATCACATTGAGTTGAGAGGCGCGGGAATGGTGATGCATGGGATCAAGGATGTTGCTAGTTGCTCAAATAGTTGCTCAATACGGGTGCCGGGTGTGAGGCTAACCTGAGAGGTCGAGGCCCGACCATGCGTCGGCTTCATCCTGATCATCATCGGCAAACTGGACGCTCTGTCATGATTGTTGGGCAAGATGTGAGTCGGCTGCTTGGCTGCTTTGATGGGCGAGAAGGAGCCACGCATGCCAGACGTGGTGACAAGCGGAGCCAACCCAGGGACAAGAGAGGATCAACGTACAAGTTTGTCGATGGGAAGAGGCATCATGCTCATCATGGTGGCGGTGCGCCTGATCTGCGGCACGGCCAATGTCAAGGCGCGCCGATGCAGGTCACGCACTGGACGCGAGCCAGATATCACCACTTGCGTGGGAAAGGAAAGGCGGCGAGTCCTGGGGCGCTCAGGCCGAGGGACCCACGGCGGGAAGGAAAGGGGGTGGGGGTTGCTGAGGTGCGTGATATGTCAACGACTGAACAAGTCGCAGCATGATGATTCCCGGAAAATCCCCGCGACCCAGTGTGGGGAGTGTGGATGGAACCACAACTGGGAGGGCGTCCAGGAGCGACTGCTTTGACGGGCAAAAGGCTTTTGTAACTTGACAAGATTGGATCCGTGGCCTTGTCGACTCTGCGATGACATGGGTTGGGCACAGTGAGCTTGCCATTCGAGGTCAAGAAGAAACCCTCCCGAGATCGAAAGCGGGTCGGCGATGTACGGGCAACCGACAAGTCTCACGGCAGCCAAACCTGAAGGTTAGAATGGAATGGCGACAACAATTGTAGCTGCACCGGCCTGTGCGAGTAGCGGATACGAGGCAGCTACGGAATATCAGGAAAAAAAAAAGCGGAGGCAAGGAAACAGCTCGATGAGTGATGGGCAACAAACGCTCAACACCAAGAATGTTCGCATGGACAAGCCACAGAGCAGAGGAGTTTCGACAATGGCTGGGACGGTTGGAGCGAGCATGGCGTCTGGAAGGCAACCACCAGCTCCAGGGGGACGGGGTGGGGGAGGGGGCATGACCACTGAGTGAAGCGCGCAGTGAATCGCCGACAAGGCGCCACCTCACGTTCAGCTCGAGTCGCTCTCTCTCGCTCTCTCTCTCGCTCTCTCTCTCTCTCTCTCTCTCTCTCTCTCTCTCTCTCTTGATGAGGGTCATCAAGGTCAAGCACGATGACCCGCTCGCTCCGCAGGAACCGTCGTCTCACGCAGCCAGTGGCAAGATTGAGGCCTTGCGCACTGCTGCTGAGCCAGCAAGACAAGCATTCACTCAAGCAGGCCCCTTTCCAAAGGGCTGGCGCTGCCATATCGAATGCGCAGCACAACAACACACAGACGCGCGCAGCTCGGTGTGCCGACTCTCTGCAGTCCAGCCCGTGGTCATGCTCACTCTCTGCTTTCAGCTTTGTTTTCACCACATGAACAAACAGCCAGACTCATCCTCTCTCTGCCCAACACATCGCGTCACAGCCATTCTCTCGTCCTTCGACGACTGCAGCGGTGGCAAGTTCTCATACCAGTAGTAAAGTGTAATGATATGTCACACTTCAGGTAGTGTATAGTGTAACTTAGTGTAACTTTCGTTGTAAGCTGGTTACACTTTTTATGGGAGTCGTTGTGGTGGCTATTGGTCAAGAACCTTTTTTCAGAGCAATTCAATACTCAAATCGTAACGCTTGGGGTCGCTTTGAATGAGCTTGATATCTTCACTGCTTTCACACGCCGTCAAGCTGTAGTGTTGTTCGGAACAACTGGTCTTGCTAGTTCTCGAATTGTCAGCACAGATCTGTGGTTACGTGTGTGTGTGTGTGTGTGTGTGTGTTGCCGACGCGTGTGAAATGGCGAAGAGAATGGCAGCGCGGAGTCTGATGATGGGCTGTGTGGTCTGGGGGTGTGGCACACTGGCTTGATGGGGGGAGAGACTGGAGATGATGAGCACGGGTGGGGACGGCTGAGCCGCTTTTGAGGGTGGCCGTCCTCGTCGGCAACAGGACAAGCACACGCCTCTCCTGCTTGCTAACTTGACATTTTCTGGCTCTTCTTCCCTCTGTGAACGCCTCCTGATCAAATTGTCGCAGAGGCAAGCAGCTTCATCAGTGCATCTGTGCATCAGTGCAGCAGTGCAGCTGTGCATCCGTGCAGCTCGGTCTGCTGGATGTGGGGTGTGTGGGCACAACAGGACTCTTGGAGCCTTTGTGCTGGGAGACACGACGACGTGGACCAGCTGCGATTGGATCTGGGGCATTTTTGTTTGCCACACACGCATTGCACATCGGTCCCCCCCCCCCCATCATGGACGAGATTGACGCCCTGGCGCAGGTACAGCTTGCTCGCGCCTCGAAACCCCATGGCATGCACACCCGAGCGTGTCTTAGTGGCCTGGCTGGAATTGCCGTGTGAGGCTAGGTCCAGGAGTATCTGCGCCGCGGCAGCGAAGTGTTTGGCCAGGCCGAAGCTGAGCTCAAGCGTGAGCAATACGAGGTTCGTCACCCACCGCAGCCCGCCCAACCGCCTCTCCCTGGCTCCGTGCAATCCGCGCCTTCATCACCCCGGATACCCGATACTATGATCGATCCCAACAGCACGCGCACACCATGTTCAGCAAGGCGCTCGTGGACTTTGAGCGCGGCTGCGATATGCTCGCGGCCTTGGAATCAGCTTCCTTGGACAAGGCCCAGATTCAGTTGCGTGATACTCTTCAAGCTCAGCTAGACACGCATCGAAAACAGAGCAAAAACTATCTTCAAGAACTAGAGGACCAGGTATGGGCTTGCACCGAGACTGAAGCCGCTGCAGCTCTTGCTGGCGCCGACGGCTTGCATGGTGTGTGTCAGCACAGCATGAACACCAACCTGACAGAGCGCGGCCCCTGGTTCATTAGCAACACATCCAGCCCCTGGAATCCCGTACCGAGAGTCATGACGGTGACGAAGAGGGCCAGCTCGTCCTCCGACTCCCGAGTGCGTGCCTTGAAAGCAGCCGCGCCATCTGCATCGCAGCTTGTGCCCGTCCGTGCGTGTCCTCACAGCTATGTCCCTTTATTCTTTGCATGTGTTCTTTACTGGCCCATCGTTTGAACAGACACGCAAACCTACCTCGTGTCACCTGAGGGCGCCGACGTGGTTCAGCTCCACGCTTCGTGCGATCTCCTGGTCCTTTCTCTGCACGGCCAATCTTTCCTCCAGTGCGGTGAATGGCTTTATCCGCTCATGGATGTACGTGGCCCCAACTCGCCATTTTCTGTCCACACAAAAGAGTTTTCCAATCGTCCCATCCAAGACATGGGCATTTTGTAAACTCCTGACGGCGTGCCGTGATAGGAACTCCCTACTCTGCGTGTACAACCTCGCTTTTACGTCTTCTCCGGCGGCAAGTGAGTTCTGCTCTGCCATGTTCGTGGGCTATCGCGGGCACACCTTTCACAAACAACGTGCCATGTATCCTTGCACTCGCACGCAGCGAGGGCGAAAGTGTGGAGAACTCGGCCGTCGGTGTCGTCCTCTCTGCCGACCTCAGCCCGCCCCTCATCAAGCAATTTGAAACCATTTTGGAGAACCAAACCACCTTTTGCAAGAAAACGCCCGATGCTGATGGTACGCAGCCGCGGCGCGCAGCCCTTTCTTTGGCGCTTTGCCTACCAGCATCATCAATCTCATGTCTGTCGGCTGCAGATGACGAAATCTTGGAACTCTCCACGTCCGCCGTGGAGCGCGAGGAAGCCCTTGCCGAAGCCGAGGCCCCTGCCGATGGTCAGTTGATTACAACCACGTGCTAACCATCTGGCCTCTTCCGAATGAACCTGCTACGCTCTGCCTCACCCGTCGATGATTGCTGGACATTTCCTTTTCGTTTTTTTTTTTCTTCCTCTTCTTCTTCTTCTTCTTCTGCTTCCTTTGCTTTCTTTCTCGTTGATGTTCTACTTTCTTTATCTGTGAACGGGCATGCTTGACTTTGTAGGCTGGGAGAACACGGTATCGCGCTGGCTCATCTCGGGGGCCCACACCGTTGCGGATGTCATCCGCACGGCTGCTCACATCGGCGGCGCCATGATCCGCAGCGGTGGCGAGTCGATCCGTGCACGCCTCACTCACAGCGATGGCAACCTGCACATTGATCCCCGCGTCCAAGCGTCAGTGGCCACCCTCAAGGGTGCCACGGCTACCACCTACCGCGTGACAGCCTACACCGTGGACAAGGTTTTTTGGCTAGCCGAACGCAGCGCCAAGGCTGTCAGTCCCTATGTGCTCCGGTTTGTCGGAACGGGATCGGGCAAAGGCAACGGGTTGACTGGCAAGGTCGTTCACGTGGCCAAGAGTGGCGGCGTGGGTGCACTCACCATCCTGGCAGGCCTCGAAGATGCTGCCCTTGTACGTGCCCGCATCTTGACCTTGCATACTTGTACTGTTGATGTGCTGTGCTTTATTTTTTTTTTCTTCTGATTTTGTACGCATGGCTTGCGCAGGTCTTGACGAAGGAATTGGCTGATGAAAGCACCTCGACAGTGCGACACCGCTACGGCGATGAGGCTGCAGAGTTGGCCCGCGATTCGCTCGAGGTATGTTTCCCTCCACGGCTTCAAAGGCCGGCAAACGCTCCAACGCAACCTTTTTGGCGTGTGTCCAGCACTCAACTTTTGATTGCCGACATAGACTGTGAGCAACTCGGCCAAAGCTTATACCACCTTTCGACGCCTGGGCCGCAAGTGCGTCTTTTGCCGGCTCAAACCCTGCGTGGCTGCTTGACTAAGACCCGTCGGTTTCCGCAGATAAATGCACAGCTCACTCGGTGTCCCTGCTGCGATAGGGCTCTCACGCGCCATGCCGTCAAGAAGACGGCAGCCGAAGTTCTTCGTGAGCACGAAGGCACGATGAAACAAAGCGCCTCCAACCCAGGACCGACCCAAGAGCAGAGGCATATGGCCTCCCTGCTGCCTCCACCTCCTCCCCGCTCACCCTATCAGGCATGAGCGAAGGACACAACCTTACCCCAATGCAATGATAATGAGGCAGAGAAAGACCGATCCTTGGTAGTGTCTGTGTCACTTGCCCGCCTTGTCTCGGTTCTTTCTGGTCATACGCCTTCAGCCGGCTCGTGCGTGTTGATGAAGCGTGATGCTTTCTGATGTCCAATTCACTTCTTTACTCGTAATAACATCTTGTCTCTCTCTCCCTTTTTGTTTTTTTTTTGGGAGGGGGATTTGTTAGGTGCAAGGACTGCAAGCAACTCCTCACACCCCCTCAACGCTATGCCCTTACAGCCAATCCCAATTCCCATGGACAGCCATGAGCCAAGCCATTGCCAAAGGTCATGATCGCCCTTTCACACATACATACACTTGCCACGCATTCTTAACAATGGCCAAGGCATAAGAGCATAAGAGCAAAAACGAAACAACTCACTGCTTGTAAAACGTTCACGTTCGTAACGTTCCTGTTAATCTGATCTGGCACTTTCTTCTTCATTGTCTTCGCCTTGAGCACATTGAAAGGGGACCATCAACATGCCCAACAGCTGGAATGCCTTTCAAAGAGCCCACGCGGGCCAAGGCCTGAGCTCCTCACAAATGTCGAGCATGTATAGAAGCAGTGGCGGCGGTGGTGGTGGCGGCAGCTCATACACCAGCGGTGGTGGTGGCGGCAGCTCATACGCCAGTGGTGGTGGTGGTGGCAGCTCATACACCAGCGGTGGTGGTGGCGGCAGCTCGAGCTGGAACGCATTTCAGAGTGCGCACAAGGGTCAAGGCTTGACGTCCGCCGACATGTCGACAATGTACAGGGCAGCCAAATCGAAAAGCGCAGCGGCGTCGCCAAGCGTCAAGACTTCAGCGGCTGCAACCTCCTCGCTCAGCAGCTGGCAACAGTTCGAACACGATCATCGCGGTCAAGGGTACACCCCCTCACAACTCTCAACCTTGTACCATCAACAAAAGCATGACCAACTGGCAAGCCCCTCAGCAGCCGCGCCGCCGAAGACTGGCTCCAAGAAACCAGAGACTTGGAACGAAGTGCAGGCTCGCTTCAAGGGGACGGGCTTGTCTCGACAGGAGGTGTCTGAGGTTTACCAACGCCAAAAGGCAGGCACGACAGGCTTGAGCTCAAGGGTGGGCAATCTTTCTACTGCCAGCCCCAGAAAACCAAATAATTGGAACGAGGTTTGTAGATGTACCGCCGCGACACAAAGCGAACACTTTGATTGGATTTTGATTCTTTCCACAACCATTCTCACGAGCTGTGTGGCATGCTACATGCAGTTTCAAAGCGACCTCAAAGGCACGCCGCTCACACTCGACCAGAAGCGGGCCCTCTACCATACGCTCAAGAGTACAAACCAAGAGAGTGTCGTGCGACCCGTGATTCCGGAATGGGCCGCCTCGGGACAAGACTGGTCCCAGCAGTATCAAGAGACCACGATGGCCCGCCAAGCGTTTGCGCGCAGCACGGAGCATCTGCCGCCCCCACCTGCGCCTGAACCTGAGCAGATTCAGACCACAACCGACCTTGCCATTGATGAGAGCAGGCTAGACTGCGGCGCGGCTATTGGTCGTGGAGGCTTTGGCGAAGTGACAGCTGCGACGCTTGATGGCACGCCTGTGGCGATCAAGTTTTTGCCCGTCGGCAGCAAACGCAGCGTCAAGGCCTTTACTCAGGAGCTGGCAGCGCTTATGGCCTTTAGCCACCCCAACGTGGTGCGCTTGTTTGGCTACACAAAAGTCAAAGAACGGCCTGGTCGCCTTGGACTTGTCATGGAGTTTTTGGCAGGCGGCTCGCTTTGGGATCGTCTTCATGGCGTCGAGGCCGAGCCCTTGGAAATCCAGCATAAGAATGACATTGCTGTTCAAGTTGGCGCGGCCCTCAAGTTTGTTCATGGCAAGGAACATGCTCATCGTGACCTCAAGAGCCAGAATATCTTGCTCAGCGTTCCTCAGCCCCAGACAAAGCTCAAGGTTTGTCTGGCCGACTTTGGCTTTGTCACCACTCGAAACCAGATTGAGAGCACCATGGCGTCCCAGCAAAGCTCGGCTATTTTTGTCGGAACGCCGACCACTGCGGCTCCAGAAATCTACGCGGAGCAAGTCGTGGAATCTGATGTCGTGGCCTGGCAAGCATGCGACATGTACGCCTTTGGTGTCGTGCTGTGGGAGATGTTTGAGGAGGATGAGCCACACTTTGGCAAACGACCTGCCGAGATCAAGAAGATTGTCACCAATCCTGATCCAAAGGCTCGACTGCCCTTTACTGCTGCGACCCCTGAGACCCTGCAGCAGCTCATTCACCAGGTGTGGTCGTTTGATCCCAAGAAGCGTCCAACCGCTGCCGATTTCCTGCCGCGGCTGCAGAAAGAGCTTGGCTGAGCGGCTGGAAAAGCTTGTGAGCCCCAAAGATCATCCTTGTAATTTGCGTCAGAAAGTCGTCCCACCCACGATCTTGTCTCTCCTGCTCCTAATACATCCGACTGATGATACCTTGTGCCCGGCCGTTCAGAGCCCTAATATACCAAATTTATCCACATCGATATGAATTGAAAGCATACCGCACATCTGTTTAGCCCATGCCTATATGTTGCGGCACCCGCGCCCACGCGCCAACCACGGGATTCGCCGAGGCTGCTTTTGAAGTGGGGCAACCCTGTAAATTAGGGGTGCGGTTTTATAAACATCAAGTCAGAACGTGTTGAAACATTGGGTTTGAAACTTCTTTAGGAACTTCACCAGTACGCTCGATCATTGCTGATATATCAACAAAATGCCATCCAGGATGGCAACAGTCAGCGCTGCTGGATGCCAGTGGCCACCGAATTCACAACCAGCCACCAAACCAGCCACAAAAGGTTAATGCATGACCAATGCGGTCATTTCGCACAAAAATCGTGAAAAAAAAAAAAAAAAAAAAAAAAAAAAAAAAAAAAAGAGAGAGAGAGAGAGATAAAAATTAAAGGGAACAACCCTGTTTAAAACAACAGTTGTGGACAAGATCACCTTTCTGCATTTTCCTCGACCCGAGTGACGGAAACGGCAGTGGGGGTAAGTCCGTCGGGTTGGCTCACGTCGGATTGGTCTGCGTCGGGGGAAGGTGAGGGACAGGTGGGAGGTAGATGCACGAGACAAATGGGCTTGTGAACCTGGGCTTAATGCGGGGTTCATGGCTACGGCTAGTGGGGAGAGGTAGTGAGCATATGAAAAAAAATGTTTTTCGCCGTTCTGAGCCTCACGACTTGCTTGTGGCATCCCATGGTCAGGTCCGTGCTGCTTTCCAACTGCGGCGGTGGAGCCATAGGATTTTTTGAGTGACCACCGCAAGATCCTGCACCATGGTGCGCTGGGGGACAACTGCGTTGCGCTCGAGTGCCTGCCCACAATTTTCGTCGTCCTACCTCTGAACTCACCTTGTTTTTTTGTGCGGCCATGCTCTTGTCCGTCGCTGATGCATCAACCGTTTTCCTTATGCATTGGGCAGGCTGACCCCAACATGATGGGTTAGTTGCACCATCCTGCACCATCTTGCTCCTCTTTATACCTTGCAATGACTCTCAACGGTTAACCGGCCCATGCTTACTTGGATACCTGCTCTTCGACATTGACAGACAATTCCGACTCGGAGGACGAGGATTTCAACCCCAATGCCCCGGAAGGTACTCCTTGCCGGGTCTTTTCTATCTCGTGATTTTGCCAAACGCTTGCACCCCTGTGCAACCGAGAGCGCAACAGACGCGAGATCAGGCTGCGCACATTCAAAGCATCTAGTCAAGTGAGCTATTCTTTTGTTACCTGGAAAACTGACCTCTGTGGTCCCCATCCAACCCAGATTCGGACGGCAGCGAGGGAGTGATTCAGAATGACATTGACAACGAAGATGATGATGATGAATCAGATGATGAAGCTCCGGCGCGCACTAAAGCTGCTCCGACCCAGAACCTCGATGACGAGGACGACGACGAGGACGACGAGGACGAGGACGACGAGGATGACGAAGAGGACGATGACGATGACGAAGAGGACGAAGAGGATGATCGAGGCCGTGGGGGTCGCCCTCCTAAGGTACACTTTTGCAGTCTTTGAGCCAACCTTTGTCCCATGCTGGCTCACTCAAGATTACTGTCTGTCTTTGCCCGCACCTGCAGAAACGCATGAAACGCAACATTTTCCTCGATGATGCTGCCGATGACGACCGCTACGAAGAGGTCAGCCGGTCAAGCTTTTGTGAATGGGTCTGCCCTTGTTTAATTGGCCCCTTGATCCCCTCACGCACAAACTCTCTTAATGTCATCGGTTCGTTTTCCAGGAGGTTGAGGACGACGAAGAACGCGAATTTCAGACTGATTCGCATTGGGACCGCGAACGTCGTGCCGCCGAAGCGCGCATCCAGCGACGACAGGAGCAAGAGGCCAAGTTGCGGGCCCAAGCTGAAGAAGCCGAACGTCAGTCCTACAAAGCTGCACTCGCATGAACTTGCACATTTGGCTAGCCTATCTTATCCTCCCCGCCCTTCGTCTCCCCTTGCAAATGTGCAGGCGCCGCTCGGGCTCAGGACATTGATATTGATCGTGAGTCTGATGAGGATGAAGAGGATGATGATGACGACGACGATGATCTCGACGAGCAGTCACGCCTTCGTCAGCTTGAGAATCGGTAGGCCATAGCTTCTCTTCACTTCTTGCTCTCGACCCCCCCGTGCCTTTGCTTGCTTGACTTTAGCCGAGTTACTCACACTCGCCCTCTGTGCAACGCTCTTAAACCCTCTAAACAGCCGTGCCGAGGCCGATGTGCAGCAGCTCCAACGCCGTTTTGCTACTTCTGAAGCCGAGCCGCGGTTTGTTGTTGCTGACGAGCCCCAGTTGACAGTCTGCTTTCGGGCTCTCTCATGAATTTCATCCCCTCAATTCAGCTATGCGGAGGACACCGAGGTGCAGGACATCTCGGACAATCGTCAGCTACCTACCATGAAGGATCCAAAGCTTTATATGGTCAAATGCCAGCTTGGCAAAGAGCACGAAGTGGCCATTCAGCTGATGCGCAAGGTTTGCGCGAATGTCCAGGCGTGCCCGCTGATCGGACACCCGGTCCTTGTCGATTCGCCTCCTCACCACCACATGCTTGCCAGGCTGCCCACGAGCGCAATGCCGGCCGCCCATTGGGCATCAAATCCGTTGTGGCCTATCCCAACAAGAGTGCCAAAGCGGTCGGTTGTGCTTGCGCATGTCACTTTGTTATACTTTTTCCCCCAGGGTGTTCGAGCGTCCTTCCCCGTTCGCGCGAAGGCTCATGCTGCTGTGTTTGCCCGGTTGATTTAGAAACTGAGCTACATTTACATTGAAGCCTATCGTCCGGCTGCCGTAAAGGAGGCCATCACGGGTATCATGGCTCTTCGTTATGGCCAGTACGACCAAAAGCTGGTGCCAATGGATGACATGCCTCGTGTGCTGGCCATTCAGAAGCAGACTGTTACCGGTCCGTTCTCATGCATGCCTGTCGTAAAGCTCATCCGGCGGGTGTCTCATGCTAGCTCACGTGGTCTTCTTGCTTGCTTTGGCCCAATTCAGTCAAACCCGGGGCTTGGGTGCGTCTCAAGCGAGGTGTCTACCGTGATGATCTGGCCAAGGTTGTCGAAGTGACTTCAAACGAAAAGCGGACGCAAGTCACCGTACATCTCCTACCGCGCCTTGACTTGAACGCCGATGCCACCACACGCAACAGTACTGTGCGTGCACCCAAGCGGCGCTTTGATCCAGACGAAGTCCGCGCTATCCGCGGTGACGACGCTGTTCAGCGTGCCTCAACTGTTGGTATGTCTTTGTCCGTCATTATTATCTCATCTCTGCTCTCTTGACCTTACTGTTTTTTGTTTTTCCACTCCACTTTTATTTGTTTGCAACCTGACGGAGGGAGTCAAGTGGCTCTGGTTGTCTTGCTTACACATTGCACCACGCTTTGTATCTCATCCACACTCGTTTACCAGATGATTATACGTTCGAGTTTGAGCGCAACATCTTCATCAAGGGCTACTTGCGCCATCGTGTGCCGCTGACCAGCCTACAGATTGAGGATGTTAATGTACGTTCTCACCCACATCGCTTCTCGGCCACCGATTCTTGTTCAGCGCTCGCTGATGACACTTGTCACACCTTTGGCTTTCTATTCTCACGTATATTCATTGCTAGGCCACTTTGGATGAGATCGCAGAGTTTGAGGGCACGGACGATTCCGCAGTTGCGGCAGCGATCGAAGAGGATGAATCATCCAAGGTTTGTTTTGAGGCCCAGCAGCTCCTTGTGCCCATTCTGACAAGAATGAGATTGTGCTTACGCGTGGCTATATTGAAACTTATTCACCTCGGTACGCAGACCAACTTTGTCGTCGGCGATCGTGTCATTGCGTATCGTGGCAACTTGAAAAACGCCTTTGGTGTTATTGAAACCATTCGCGAAGATGGCACAGTCGTGCTGCGTGTTGAGAACCAAGAACTTCGGGTACGTGAATGGGAGAAAGTTTGACCAAACCAACCGCGACGGGCGTTTCGAACAGTGCACCCGCCTCATCCAGCTGCTCGGGCACACAACCTTTTGTGGCTCGTTCGTAGGATCTTGATCGCATTCCAGTGCCCAAAGAGGATCTGCGCAAGCACTTCCGCCCAGCGGATCACGTTAAAGTCCAACGTGGCCGTTACGAGGGACAGACGGGTTTGGTTCTCGAGGTCAACGATCAACGCGTGACTGTCCTGATCGACCTCACCATGAAGGTTGGTTTTCGCCCTTCCATCGTTGTGGCACATGGCATGGTCCACGTCATGTGGTGTGCGCTCATCCTGCACGTGGCGGTTACGCCGTTTTAGCAAATCGAATCTCTGTCGCGTGATTTGGAGATTTGCGAGACCATTGGCACAGGCCTGGACGCTCACGGTCAGTTCAGTGCCTGTTTGTATCGACTGCCAACCGCTTAAAAAATGCGCGCCCTGCTGAGCTGCTTGCGTCATTGTTTTGATGCATGTTCGCGCGTGCTTTGCAGGTCAATTTGCACTGTTTGACCTGGTGCAAATGACGCAAGCTGCCACTGTGGGGGTCATCATTGCCATTGAGCGCGATGAATTCAAGGTTGGTCTCGAAATTTGGTGCTTCTGGTGTCGACTCATTGTCCCTTGTTCCCAGCCAATCAAACTACATGTGTCTGCTTGGTTGGCACCGGTAACTCGTAGATCCTTGATCAGAACGGACAGGAAAAGACGATCAAGTCGCAGCAGGTGAAACCCATTGGACGCAAGCATCAGCCTCAAACGTTCGACTCGCAGCAAAATGTAGTGGCTCGTGATAGCATGGCACGCGTGGTTGATGGCCCCAACAAGGTATGTGGTGGAGAGACATAGATGGACCTGGTATCTGTGCTCGTGTGTCTTGTGCATTGATACCCACCTCCTTTTTTCCTCGTGCAGGGCCGATCGGGCAAAGTCAAGTACATTCACCGTGGCTACGTCTTTTTGCAAGATCGCGGTTCGACCGAGCACAATGGCATTTTCGTTTGCCGGGGTCGTCACTTGCAGGTCTGTGTTTACATGTAACTGACTCCAGCCATGCTGCTTGCATCTGCTCCTCTCACGCCGGTGGCTACTGTCAAACTGGATGCATAGGTCGCCAGTGGCCAAAAGACCGCATTCAATACACAGGCCGCCGTTCCGCAATCACCAAGCATGCGTGCGTCTATTTCTGCTTGCCCCTTTGATGCTGTGTCCCGTTCAGCCCGCGTCCCCTTACATGTTCATTGACGTTTAGGTACTCCTGGCTCTACGGGCGGTGCACCTCAAGCGCGGCGCCGCCCTCGCGCGCATCCCCTGATGCACAAGACCGTGCGTGTCGTGGCGGGCCCTCATAAGGGTCACCAGGGTATTGTCACGGACGCTACCGAGACGACCGTCCGCGTGGAGTTGCATGCTCGCAACCGCATCATTTCTCTCAAGACGCAGCACGTCAAGGTTGGTTGGCTCTGCCTGGGCTGGTTCTCGGTAACCCGGTTGACATCTGCATAGGAGTTGTCCAACGACGGGAGTTTGTGGGGACTCGGCACACCTTTAGGCTGCAGCCAGCGCCCTGGCCGAGCGCGCTTGGTTCTGTTGGTTTATTAATCTTGTAACTCCTTCATTGCACTGCCGTATCCGCAGGAAATTCCAGCTTTCCGATCGGACCAAGGCCAGTTCGACAAGCCTGGGTGGGCTGGCAGCATTCACGGGGCGCGGACGCCTTTCAACTCGGCGCAGACACCGCTTTACACGGGCGCCGAGACGCCGCGGTACACGGGCGCCGAGACCCCTCACGGCAACCAGACGCCTCGCATGGGCAGCCAAACGCCACGCGGAGGTGTGTTTATGCTTGCCACTGGAATGTGCACACCAAGAATGGGGCTCTTTTGTTGTTTGTTGGCCAGCGATGGGTGACGACGACGTTGCTTGCCCCTGCTGTTCTTGGATTCAACTGGCAATTTGTGCGCCCCGGGGCTTAGATCATTCGGAATACGGCAATCAATCTCAGTACGACAACAGCGATACATGGAACCCCGCAGTGCCAAACACGCCCCGCGACGGCTATGTGCCAGCAGACGAGGATTTTGTGGTTCGTTGGGCGAGAAGGCGTTTCCGATCAAAAGCCTCCATGTAGCAAGCTGACTCATTGCGTTGCTCCTGCCCCTGCTTAGTATCCCAACACACCACATACCGCACACACCCCGCAAACACGTAAGTCTTGATTTTGGCTTGATGCCTCAAGGCCGATCTTGAGTGCGAATGTTTTTAAGCGCAAATGCATCTCTCATGTTTTTCTTTCATTTGACTTCTTTTTTTTCCCTTGCCGTGCAGCGCACACGAATGGTCCGGCGCAAGGCATGACACCGGGTCTCACGCCCAGCCTGACACCTGGCTTCACGCCTCAAGCCTACACACCTGGCTTTACGCCCGGCATGGCGCCTACTCCGGGAGTGGCAAGCACGCCTATGGTGGACGAGAAGCGTAAGTTGTTTTTGCTCAACACCTCGGCTGTTACTTTTTTTTTTTTTTTTTTTTTTTTTTTTTTTTTTTTTCTTGATGGCTCTGTTCTCATACACTGACTGCCTGCACCTTGCTTGCCACGTACAGCTATCTGGCTGCACAAGGGCATTATGGTGGAGTTGCGCGGTCGATCTGGCTACATTGCCAGCGTGGATGGCTACGAGACTACTGTGGTCTTGGACGATGGTGTGTTTGCCTTGCTTTGTTGCCAATGCGGCTGGTTGCTTTTCGGGGGGCTTGTCCTGGCGTATGTTCTTGCCGTCACATGTTCACGTTGATGTGCACACGATTGTAGGCGCAACCGAGACGGTGCGTGCAGACGAGCTTTCGACACGACCCCCTGCCAAGGACGACACGGTTTTCGTCCTGCCTGGGTCTCCTTCACATCCTGAATCGGTGGCTCTCTTCGTCACGATTGATCACGACGAAGGTGTCATTCGCAAGGGCGCGGATCTGGCCATTGTTCCGTTGCAATTTTTGGCTGTCGTTCATCCTTCCCAGGTGGATAAATTTTGAAACCCATCGCGCGTGCAATGATGGCATGGCAAAATGGCTGTTGAGGATGCGTATGGGGATGACTGCATTTCTGGAGTATAGTCTTCTTGGACCCTTGCACGTAGAGTGCAAGATTCTCGCAATTGAAAACGGAACATGATGGTTTGATCTTCACCTCAACTTTGAGGATGTTGCGGGGAGAGCCGAGCCGAGCCGGAGCTACTGCTGGTCACGTGCCTGATCAGGTGCCTGTAAGAGGCGCGCCATGGCTTCGTGGCCATTGCGAAGGGCCAGATCCAGCGGGGTCTTGCCCGAGTTGTTGCAAGCGCTTGGCTCAGCCCTGTGCGCTATTGAGCAAGCAAAGGTGAGGCAGAGAAGATACAGACACGTCGACAACCCTTTGCTCTTCTTAGGGGTTGAGGGCGTGGATCGTACCGAGCAAGGTCCACACGCTGTCGAAATGACCATGTCGAGCCGCTCGGTGTAACGGGGTGTTGCCTACAATTGTCCTCGCCTCGAGTTGAGCCCCCTTGAGTGCGATGCAAGAGAGAACGATGAGCAGAAGACGAACAACGCCATGCCAAGGCTGCGTGGATTCCAAGCTGTGTCGAAGGTGAAGGCCGTACACTTCGCAGAAGTGAACGAAGACAGGCCTGTTCAGGGAAGGGGCAGAAGCGGGTGGACAATGAGTGATCAGCTGGACAAATCAATCAAGGTCAACGCTGGTATGGAAGGGTTCGCAAACACAATCATACCGGGTGATTATGCTCAGCGGCACAGTGTAGCGGGGTTTGCGCTTGGTCATCGACAGCATCCACAATGGCACCGTGTGCTATGAGCAGCTGTGGGGCACACCATTGTCATTGGGGTGGGTCGCAGCATTGAGGTCGATTGCGGGGACGGGGCTGCGGTGGATGATCGTGTTTGTGTAAGGCAACAAGACAGCAACAGGCTCAAAAAAACGTACGTTGCATGCTTCAGTCCAGCCTCGTTGAGCGGCAACATGCAGAGGTGTTTGCCCTTGTTCATCTGGTAGGCTAAGGTGATTCTGCTTGGGACCCAGTTCGTCGACATTGTAGCGGCCGGCCACCAAGATATCCAGTAGCTCTGTGGCCATGGCATCGTCGGATGCCTCGGCACATGCGACATGCAAGGCCGTGCGGCCTGTAACGAGAAAGGAAGCCAGTCAGCATACTTGAGCGTTGGTGAATCCATGTCTGGTGGCTGACGTGAGTTTTGCATGGCCCACCCAGTTTGTAGCGAAGCAGCGCGTTGGCGCCATGATGAAGCAAAAGTCGGATAATATCGGGTTGATTGCTACGCACGGCGGCGTGCAGGGGCGGCTCAAACTGGCTCCGGCGCACATTGGGATCCGCCCCTGCATGCAGTAGTGCCTGGATCTGGGCATGCAAACAGGACCGACAGGCGTTGTATGCAAGCCGATGCGTGTACAACAAGGAGCGTGATGCCGAGCCGGATAAGAAAAAGGATAGGGGAGGCAAGTCAGGAAAGATCAAAGGACGCAGCAGGCTCACGATCATTACTACCTGGGAAGCATCCTCGTGTTGAATGGCCGTGATCAACGCCTCGTTCCGCTGGATCTACCAGGCAATCATCATTGTCAATCAATGGCAACTTTATGCCAACGCCGCCAAAAATAATCCGCCCGAAAGCTGCCAACCAACCTGGCCCAGCGTCATCGTCTGCTGCTGCGCCATGGCGCCCCGATCACTGCTCAGTGAGCCATCCACATCCACACCCCCTCCTCTACCAAGAAGAGTGATGTGATACCGCGCAGCAGACAGACATGGGCAGAACGCATATTCTAGCTGGCACAGTACAGACAGACAGACAGACACACAGACACAGACACAGACACAGACACAGACACAGACAGACAGACGGACAGACAGACAGACAGACAGAGCGCGCCAGCTGCTGCAGCGCTGCGCAAAAGACAGAGTGAGCGACACAAAAAAAGCGCGCCGAACTACATCAAACATCTGACAAATCTGTGTGTGTGTGTGTGTGTGTGTGTGTGTGTGTGTGTGTGTGTGTGTGTGTGTGTGTGTGTGTGTGTGTGTGTGTGTGTGTGTGTGTGTGTGTGTGTGTGTGTGTGTGTGTGTGTGTGTGCATTTCTGAGCGTCCCGGTGGTGGTGGTGGTGGTGGTGGTGCATGGGAGGCGGATGGAGACGGCGGCGGCGAGACGGAGGGTGTGAGACAGAGTAGGACAGAAAGCAGAGGCAGGGGCATGGGCATAGGGAGACAGATGGGGAGGGATCGGGGATTTGTGCAAACCGATGGCTTGGGGTTTTGAGGGAAAAGGTGGGAAGATGAGGGCCACACTCGGTCGGGCCGCAGCACGGCGCTGGTTTGGCGTGCTCGTCTTGACTTTGATGTGGTTGTTGGATGCACCCACCGCAGCTCCGGTCGGCGCAGATGCGTGGTGTGTGCCCCCGGAGCCGGGACCTCTATCTGTTGGGGCATCAATGTGTCGCCAACACTACGCCTGGATTCGGCGTCCGGCGCAATTGGCCAACACCCAGGGTCGCGGCTCCCCCAAGGCTCAATTTTGGTGTGTGGTATCACGACGCCACCGGTTTGTGTACCACTACATCCCCCTCAACGGGGGCAGTACCATCAATCACATTATGCGTCTCTCAATCGGAGGTCTCCTGCCAGACCACGATCCAGCTGATAAATTGCCCGAGGTGCAGGACCAGGCCTTTAGCCGCCTGGGCGAGGATGCCCTCCAGCTCTTTTATCATTGCCAGCTTCATGAAGACACGGCCAACTTTCTCCACTTTGCGTTTGTCCGTGACCCCCTTGACCGGTTACACAGCATGCAGCATCTGGGTCTCTTCTGGCGCACAAACGCAGGACACGGGTTCGCCAGGGACGCCCCCTCACTCATGGAACTGGCTCGCAGCCGCGATCTACCAGCCACCTTCAGGGACAGCACCGTCATGGGCTTGGACCACGCAGTCCATCAGCACGATATGCTCGTGACCGCCGACAACCGCTTTGCGGTCGATTTTATCGGTGATCTGGCCTACCTGCCCGAGATCATGACCGAAGCCTTAATCCCAGCGCTGCAGGAACATAGCCCGTACGGCCAAACGGATGCCCACCTCTTTGATCGCATGCGTGCATACTTTGCAAAGCGTCCCCGTCTCAACGAGCTCCGCAAAGGGGCCAAGGCGCACCCTGATGAGCTGCGCAGCGCGAGGTGCCTCATCTTGGCCAATCCAGCATTTCAACCAGACTATAAACTCTTTTATGTGACGCGTGATGCCAGTAACGGGACGCTACAGGTCTGCAACTAGTTTGCCTCGTGACACCCTTTGGTTTGGCCAGTTGAGCAGCTTGCAAGTCTTCCGACACAAGGATTGCCGCTTTGCGCCCCTTGTACAGCCCCCCGTGTGTGTCGAGAGGTTGATGGATGCCGAATGGGGCTAAGAAGGAACGAGTGTGGCTGTAAAAGAGCAAATTGATTTGATGACTCAGAAACAAGATTCAGCGGCGGCAAACATAAGCTAGAAACAGGGGCAAGAAGATAAGAAAAACAACAGCAACAACAACAACAAAGCAAAACAACGGGGAACACAAACGCGCTGTAGGGTGGGTGTCAAGTTCTAGACTGGGTGTTCTACCTAATTAAAAGCATGGCTTAGTAAGTGAGCGCGCACGTGTGTATGTGCGGGTGAGATGCAAGGGTGCGCAGCACCCTGCAAAAAAAAAAAGAAAAAGAAAAAACAAGACGATACAAAAATACAAAGACGCAGGTCATGCCAGACAGGCGTTTGATGGATGCACAGTCCCATCGAAAGAGAACACTAGAGACCTTCAGAAACAATAAAACAGAACACAGCAGAACAACAAGAAACGACCAGGACTGAACAAAACATGAATCATCATCAGCAGCAGCTGATAAAGAGGTTGTACGTCTTGACCGGTATTGAAACTACTCCTGTTGAATCAGGGGTTTGATCTGCTTTTCTTTCCGGCATCAGCAGCAGCTGATAAAGAGGTTGTACGTCTTGACCGGTATTGAAACTACTCCTGTTGAATCAGGGGTTTGATCTGCTTTTCTTTCCGGGGCTCGGGATTGCACAGCAACATGGTGGCAAGGGCCTCTCGGGTCAAAGGCGACCAGTCTCGAAAGAGACGACAGCTGACGCAGCGGTGCAACTTCTGCAGGCTGAGGGTTGTTTCCAGGGGCACTTGGGTCAGACAGCGACACAGCGCGCCTAAATCGAGCAGATCAGCCAAGAATTCAGCGTGAGGCAGGATGGCCAAGCACTGGTCAAGACCGCACCCAGTCGGATGGACGAGCACTGGTAACGCACGAAGAGAGGATTCGCGGGAAAATTGAGATTCCAAGGCGTCATAGTCGGTGGCCTTCATTTCTGTGATCAAAAGTTGCAGCAAGTTGGGATGCATTTTCTTCAGCGTTCGTTTCCAAGGCTCGAGATGAGCCACGTGACTGAGAGCCAGCACAACACTCCGGTGACCCTAAACGTGGTGGGTAGAAACAAAACACGTAGTACGATTCAAGAAGAAATAAGAATCGGCAATGAGTCAGAGGAATACACCAGTTGTTGGTCTTGATGTGCACAGCATATTTCGTAGCATCGGGGGCGGAGCAACGATGACTGTCGGGGCTTACCCAAACGCGCGACAAAAAGGTTGTGCGTTCGATCGCGGCTAACCAAGACGGGAGACCGGCGTGTGGGTGAGCACGGAGGGCACAGCGGGGTTGGGTCGAGTCGTGGTTCAGATGACATTCTTGCCCCTGGGCTAGAGGTCGACAAGCAAGACTGGCCTGTAGCAGGGCCGAAAACTCACCGGACACAACGCCCACGACCTGCGTGCTAAACCCCAACAACAAATCACTTGCCAGAACAACCTCGTCCTCATTGGCCTACCAAGCGAGAGCCGGTGGTCAGAGCATGACTACTCTAGGGAATGATGGGAGTACCAGGACCTACCATAGGCGTGGCCAGTTGCGCAAGCAACAAGACGCTCAATAGGCGGCGCTCCTTGTCTTCCGCAAAGGATGCAAGGTATTTCAACAAATGAGGCAAGCCTGGCACGTTGGGGGAGGGGAAGAGCATGGGCGTGCAGACAGACGGCGTGAGTCAAGGAGCACTGCGTTTGGGTAGAGAGGCAGCTTCTTTTTTATCAGTTGCGTGGGTGGAGCGAGAAGACGGACCAGTGAAGGCATCGTGGCATACTTCCGGGCCAATGTAAACAATTAAAAAGCTCCACAGTACGCAAGCATCGCCGATCCGTGGGGCATCTAAACTATGAGCTGCAAGCAGGCAGGTTGCCTAAAAGATGCGGCGCAGAGAGTGAGTCATGTAACTTTGTGCAGCAGAGCGAGATTTGATTGGCAGGCCAACCTGAAGGGTGGCAGTAAAATTGCTGAGGACTTGAGTGCACAAGCTGCGAACGAGCTCGTCATCATGTTTAACCTGTAGCAAGGGGCCACATTGGATTGGTGAGCAGAGTGCGTCGTCATCTTGCGGAGATGCAACACATGCCACAGGAATGGAGGGCTTTGGGGGGTGCTCCTTGACTGAAGCAAGTCTGGGCAACTGGTAGCTGGTGTTTGGATGGGAGGCAGAAACGTACGGCACTGAGCATGCATATGATGGAAACGAGGATCGAGCCGAGGGAAGAGGTTTGGTTGAGGCTGGGTTGGTGAATGGTGATGGCATCAACGTTGACACCAGTGGCAGCTGCTAGGGCCTGAGCCAAGTTGGTGGGCACGGGATCGAGGCGAACACTGCCATTGGTTCCGTCTTGCACTTCTTCAAGTACGTGGTCAGCTCTGCCAATGAGAGGGGGCATGGTCAGCAAGGGATGGGATGGCATGGGAGGGCGGTCCAGTGTGGCTTCCTGTTTTAGTTTTTTTGGTTGTTTTTCCCTCACCCGTGCGGGAAGCGAACGTACAGGAACAGGTTGTCGAGCACTGCGGGGCCATATCTGTGGAGCAGGTTGACGAGGTAGGACGAACGGGCCTCTTCGGGTCTTCGAATTGCATCGCAAGTCGTCTTGACAAGAAGGGCCGTCTCAAGGAGGGTTTTAGCGTTTGTGGCGACCTGTGCACGCAAGCCAGATGATAAGGATATCGAGGAGGATATCGAGGAGGATATCGAGGAGGATATCGAGGAGGATCTCTCGGGTCAAGGTGGGTGAAAAAGACATGCCGGGCGGGGCCAAAGGTCAGGAGGACAGAATCAATGAATGGTTTGCGGGCCACAAACCTGGAGGGTGTCAACCCAGTGGTCCAGGTCTTCAAAGGTTGCAAAGTCGGTCATGATGTGGGCGGGATGGCAGGAATGGCCAGAACCCAGGGCGCTTATGGTCCCATGTTCGCTTGACACTGGAGCTCTGCTGGTGGCAATCCGGGAGTGGGAAAAAAAAAAGATAACCAATCGGCTGCCTTTGGGACTGATGAAGTGGTGGTTGCGTGCGTTGACAACTCGATCGGCTGACGAAATGCGATCGGGCAGGTGGGAACGGAAGAGCAGCAGAGCAGCAGAGCAGCTGGCGCCGGATCGGAGGTGGAGGTGGGGGAGGGAAAGGGAGGGGCAGCGGGCTGAAAATGCTGGGTCGGGGTTGGGTCGGGAGAGGGTGTTTTGATTGGGACCGCTTCCCGCCACATCCACTGTCCAGTCAGCTCTGGGTCTGTGGCCAAGTGGAGGGAAAAAAGAACGAGCAAGAGGAACAGGGACGAGGACGAGCAAGAGGAACAGGGACGAGGACGAGGACGAGGAACAGGGAGAGGAAGAAGGCGATCGAAGGGGGAAGGGGGGAAAGAGGGGGAGGAGGAGCAAGACGGTTTGGGGTAGTGGTAGTGGTAGTGGTCGTGGTCGTGGTTAGTGGTGCGAAGGGGACAGGGAGGGATTCCAGCGCCTGACGGAAAACGGAAATGCAACGGTATGGGGATGATGCGGGTGAGATTTTTCAAGCCACAAAGAGCCAAGGCTCAAAGGCCGGGCAGACGGGAAAAAGTGTCGTGCAGAGTTTGACGCCGACAGGTGCAAGCGGCTACCGTGGCAACGGCCGACCGGACAGCAGAGAAAGGGAGGAGCAGAGAGAGGGAAGGGCAGGGAGCAGAGAGAGCAGAGAGAGGGAGGAGGGGCGACAATGGCAGAGGGGAGGGAGCATTCGAATCTTGACACGTTGGATCTGGTGTGCCTATCACCGACCTCTTGTCAGGCAGCAGCAGCAGCAGCAGAAGAAGAAGACCCAGCGGCCGACAAGAGACCGGATCAGGGATCAACAGCGCACGCGCGCAGAGCCAAGGCGGAGAAGAAAAGTGCCCAGCAAGGAAAAGGGGGAAGGAGGAGAAGCATCTACACAGACACACAGAGAGAGAGAGAGAGAGAGAGACAGACAGACAGACAGACAGAGGGACAGCAGAGAGACAGAGGGACAGCAGAGAGACAGAGGGACAGCAGAGAGACAGCAGAGAGACAGAGAGAGAGACAGCAGAGAGACAGAGAGAGGGAGAGAGGGAGGGAAAAGGAGCGCGAGCTCATCCCACTGCGCTTTCTACCACAAGTCGAAAGCAGAGAGAAAAGGAGAGCAGAGATGAAGAGCAGAGAGAGGAGAGAGGAGAGAGTGGAGAGAGGCGATCAGGGCCAACGGTCAGAGGGAGGCCCACACACACACACACACACACAAACAGAGACACGCGCGCGCTGCATCATGTCATGCCGTGGGTACGAAAAGGGGGGTTAATGTCTGGCTCTGTCCGAGAGGTTGACAGGAATTAGGACACACACCAAGCTCTTCATTTGACTCCATGACGTGTGTTAGACTTCTTGTGGGGGGTTTTTTGAGAGAGAGTGAGAAATCGTGCGTGTATAGTGTGAGAAGAGAGAGAAGCGAAGAGAGAGACAGAGAGGAGAGCGAGTGTGTGTGTGTGTGAGAGAGAGAGAGAGGAGCGCGAGCGTGAGAAAGAGCTGAATTGAGTGTGTGTGCGAGTGAGAGGACGGACGATGAGACGGAGCGAGCCAGAGAGGAGGGCAGTATAGACACCAGACAGAGAGCCGACAATTTGTTTTATCCAAAGGGAAAAAACAAAAGACGTGAGCAAGCGAGGACATGGACACGGCGGACACGGCGGGACAGTGCGTGGGGGAGAACAGGAGAGGGGCAGGTTGGGTACAAAAAAGGGGTCAGAGCAAGGCGGGGGCGGAGAGGGGGGATTCTGGAGTTGGGAGAAGTGGTGCGTGTGTCCCTCTCTGGCAGAGACAGGGCAGAGGCAGAGAGACAGAGTCAGATAGTCAGAGAGTCAGAGAGTCAGAGAGTCAGAGAGAGTCAGAGAGTCAGATCAAGAGAAAGCAAGGCGGCGTGGCTATTTGATCTGAAAAGATCAAGGCGGAATCTTTTCCGACGAGGCAGAGGGAGACGTCAGCATGGGGTGCCAGGAGGGTAGCGTTTAGGGGATGGCAGGGTGTAGCGAAGTTGCGATCCTAGTACATGTGTGTGTGAAATTTCGCTCGTCGCGCCCTCTAGCAACCGAGATCGAGAGAGGGGAAGGGAGGAGAGCAGAGCAGCGCAGAGCAAGAAGGAGGGAGGAGACAGAGCGGGACCATGGGTCGGGATCAGATGGAACAGCGAATGATAACCAAGTCAGTTGGGTACATGACCGTTAAACCCCATTCCCCCCTGTTTTTGTAGATCAACGACAATAGGAGCACGCCAAGGTTCAAACCCCCATCTTTGCGTCCGTCCCTTCTCCCTCGCTCGCTTCGCCGCTGCCAGTCAGGAAAGAAGATGTGTCCTACTGGGTTTGACCGATAACTTGATTTTGGTATGGATCTGAC